TTTGTTACTGTACTTAAGTAGTTTTTTTTCAGGTATCTGAACTTGAGAACAACTTTTTACTTTTACCCCCTTCATTTTTACACAAATATCTTTACTTGCATTTTTTAAACAGGCTCATTGCTTTAGTTTGGGGGGAATTATATAATTATTATCATTATTATTGTTATTATTATTATTATTGCTGCACGCCTTCTCAACATCAAATCAGCACATAATGCACAACAGACGTAACAAGATGACACAGATAAGAGAGGGAGACTCGACCCTGTTTGAAGTTTCCTTTAGCTTTGCACAGAAACAGCCGGTAGAAACCAAGAGAGTACTTTTCACTTTTACATGAGTAGAAAAGTTGAATCAGTATTTCTCGTCTTCTTTTATATGTGTTCTTCTACTTGAGTAAAGAATGTACTTTTGTTACCTAAAAAAAAAGGTCCAAATGAACTGCTCCATGTTGTGTGTATAAAATAGCCTACAGTGCTGCAGCGGAGGAGGAGCATTCATACTTTCCACAAAGTGGAAAAGTAGTTTAGTCAGTGTTACAGGAAGTTAATGGATTTTACTGTATGTAACACTTTCACACTGTGACGTCCAGGATTTCATTGACAGCTTAACAAAAAAGTAATAATCAGGTTAACTAGTCGGTGATGCTGTCAATGTTCGTGTTTTTGTTTTTCTGTCCACATGTCATTTTCACTCAACCTGAGAGGCTCTTTTGCTTGGTGGAGTGAAGAAGAAAGAAAAAGGGGGCAGAGAGGAGGAGGAGGAGGGGGGGTTTGAGGAAATGACCAGTGAGGGCGACAGAAGGGAAATGAAGGATGTGGAGACAGACGGAGAGAGAGTGGGAGGGAGGGATGGGGAAAACTCAGAGAGAGGGGTGGGGTTGAGGGGTCCTCTGTTTCTTTTCCTGGAATGCAGCCCCGAGACTGTCGGCTGGAAGGAAAGCGAGGAAAAGTAGGAAAACAGAGAGATTGTTCTTCAGAAGACAGACGCGCCACATTCTTGCTGTCAGAGTTTTCTCCCCCTTCTTTTTCTTGCCCTGGCTGTTTGGGGCCAGTGGAGGGAGAGGGGAGGGTGAGGGAGGGGAGGGAGGGCAGAGAGAGAGGGGAGAACAGTGGGGGGTTGGAAAGGTGACGGAGGGCAGGGGGAAAGAGAGGAGAAGAGAGTTCAGGAGACCAAAGGAATATCCAGCACTGAGCACATTATTCCCTCTCATGTTGCTCTGTTGTGATTGTTAATACTCTCCTCATCTCCCCCTCCAGTGTTCAAGTCTACCTCCCAGAGTGACCATGAGAGTCCTCCTACTCATCTGCATGCCAGGTAACTGCCCCACGTTCCTCTCCGAGTCCACTGAAGCCCCTGAACACTTTCTCCGTAACCTTCATGAATACATGTGCAACAATCAAAGTGGAAGAAATAGTTTGGGAAACGCTTCACTTCGCTTTCTTGCTGAGAATTACGATTGATCCCACTCTCATGTCTGTACAATAAATATAAAGCTACAGCCAGCAGCCAGTTAGCGTAGCTTAGCATAAAGACTGGAAACAGTAGGAAACAGCTAGCCTGGCTCTGCCCAGAGGTAAAAAAAATTCTCCGTCTAAAAACAGAAGTGTAGAAAGAGACACATTGTGGGTTTTCAGACGGATTTATGTGACAGACTATTTCTTGGTCCAGCACAGTAACTTCCTCTAGTCTTGTCACCACCTTATTGTTGCCAGGCAACCAGTGGTGACTCCAGGATGATTTTGTTACCTTGTTAGCGAAGGTAAGCTCAATATCGTAACTGACATTACTGAGTCGGTTCACTGACGTTTTGGCTCTTCTACACATAAGCTGCTGTTACATTTTAACATTTTTCCATCATCGCAGAGCCAGAAACAGTTTTCACGGTTCAAAGTTACATGTTACAGTTGTTTTAAAGTGAGATGTCTGTATGTAGATTAAATAGCAAATTTGTTCTCTCTTACAAAGGAAAAGCAATAAAACACACTTATTGCTCAATGCAATTCAGTTTCCTGACTTTTCTCTGCTGTGCTCTTGTTACAACATTTACCGTTTACAGTTATCCTAATTATTATTCCTGGTGGCCACAGTGGTCGTTGTTCAGCAAAAGTCACATAGTACAACTGTAGGCTAAAATAGGATTTAATTACTGACTTGTAGTTATTTATTTCTCTTGTAAAATGTATTCCACATAAGGCTGATGGATACTTGTGTATACTTATTATCTATGGTGATCTATCAGTAAGGAAACAACCCGGATGAAGGCAAAAAGACGAATAAGTCAAATAAAGCACAAAGTGTTGAACGGTTTAATATCGATGTTTTTCTATCAAAGTGGCTTCATGTAACTTTTGCTAACTGTCGCAGGATATGGTAAATGCTGTAAAGTAGTGTAACAATAGCACATGATGTCAGTAACACATTAACATTAGCTAACAATAGCCACCGTAACCAGTCATACCAGACCACATAAAAACTCCTTGTTCGCTACATAGTCTCACTTTAAAGCTCGCACTGGTTGGCATGTTAGCTTTAATGTTAGCTTTAAAAATCTGAATTGAATTCAGATTTTAAAAAACACCTAAAAAACTAGTGTGTGATAAAGATACTCAGTTTCAGTATTCAGAGCACTTGTAATTACGGACTCCCCCCCTGCATTTCACTCCTCACCCCATCTTTGTGATTACTTTATTGTTCTGAAATGTCAACAGTTCTGCTGCTCGCCCAGGCCCAGTACCAGGAACCGTTTCCATTTTTGGGTGAGTTCATTAAGAGAATATTGGCCCTGATTGTTCCAGCTCAGCATCGGTTTATATCAGAGCTCTCCACATCTGTTCCCAATTTCTGGTTGTCCTCTGATGTGTCACCTAGCCTCGAGGAGTTCTCTCTCCTCCTCCGATTGTTGTTTACCTCCCGCATAGCAACTGTTGTCACAGTGTAAACAGCACTTTTAACATTCTGCATGTTATTATTTGTAAACATCTTGCATATGAAGTCATACATTACACCCTCGCAAAACTGCTTATTTTGTGCAGTTTTGGCGTGCAGGTGGTTGATTTTATATGGTGCAGGACTTTGTGTGTGTGTGTGTGTGTGTGTGTGTTATGGGAGTACCGGGCTGTTATTGGTTTCACTATGTTGATCTCATGAAACTTTTTTCTCTCCTGCTTATTTTACGGCTTCACAGAGGACTATGGGCCGGATTATTTTCCAGGTAAAGCATTTTCAGGTTCACAGAAATGATCCTCGATGCTGCTTTCATATTTAAACGTCAGTGTGTTTTATAAAACCGATCCCTCTTTTTTGTTGTCCAGATTCTGAGACCCATGATTCTCTTCCTGGCACCTACCAGCAGCAGGTTCGGCTCGAGCCAGTAGTGCGTCCAGAAAAATCAGGTATACCTGCTGAACTCTCCTCCTGTGTGAGTCGTGCTATTAAAGAGTAGTTTGTACTGTGTCTAGAACTCATTTGTAAATCTGTTTTCCATGTGGATATCAGAGTCCGAATTGGAGACGGAGCCCACAGAACCTGGCCCTCTTGGTAAGAACACTTTGGAGACAGGAGGACAGATAATGAGTTGTTTAGTTTGAGTGGAGAAATTATTTTGCTGTGTGTTTGAGTCCAGATTGCAGAGAGGAGCAGTATCCCTGCACCAGACTCTACTCTGTTCACAAGCCATGCAAGCAGTGCCTCAACAGCCTCTGCTTCTACAGGTACGTACTGTAGGACCTGCAATGACTTTTAAATGAGCAGTTCACCCCCACAGTCAGTGAAAATACAGTCATTATTTCTTTTGTTAGTTGAAACCTCCCTGAAGTCTGTAGGACAAACAAACTCTGAGTCACTTGCTGTAACTCCATCTCAGCCTTTCCCTAAAGTATTGAAGCTACTTCTACCACATCTCCAAAAAGCACAAATTATCTATCAAATATTCTCCAAACAGCTTGTGAGTGAGAGTTCAAACTGAGAGCTCAAACGTCAGCATTTAACAAAATGTTTGGCATCATTTATGAATGTACAATGCATCAGTTGTGGTCTGTTCTAGGGCAAACATCAGTGAGGTTAATACACGAGTACATATGGGACGTTGGTAAACTACAATACATTTATGTGAGTACTGAACTCTTTAGCTATAACAGGATGGAGATCTTATGTAGTGTAGAAGGATTGTTTAGGAAAAGGCTAAATCGCTGTTGGTTACCAACATTACGTTCCATTTATCAATACTTCCCAACTTCTCTATCTGTTGCTCTCAGCACCAAGTCCATTGGTTCCTACTGAAGGTGTAAATCTTAAAATAACAGGTCACCAATATATGTATTTAAAAACGTTTTTACACTAAACACCTGGACACTGGTTTTTATTACTCAAACAGGAGTAAATAGTGCATTTGTTGGGGACTATTTTTAGCCGCGGATTAATAGACGTTTGGTGCTGATGAGTATTGTACTGTGTTTATTGTAATAAAGGAACATCTCAGTCAGTGCAACAGTATGACTCACTTTTTGGACAATAATGGAAGTATATGGCACAGGAATAAGATATTTTGTGCTTTGGATACACAGATAATACTTGTTGATGACTTCATTGTTGGTTTTTATCTTTTTATTGAACAGAAAAATACAGAATATTGTATATATATATATATTGTATATTGACTTATTCTTTAAGTTCCAACTGTTTGCATTTTCTGGGTGAACTACCCCTTTAACTGGCATCTCAGTGTTTCACTTGTGACCTCTACATGTGTTTTTTGTTAAGTTTGCGACGTGTGTACGTCATCAACAAGGAGGTTTGCGTGAGGACTGTGTGTGCACATGAAGAGCTGCTGAGAGGTGGGTTCACTGCACTCTGTCATTTGTGTTGTTTTGTGTGTTTGTATATTGAGACTTGTTATTTGAACTCCTCTGCGTGTGTGTGTGTAGCGGACCTGTGTCGCGATCAGTTCTCCCGCTGTGGCGTGGCAGCGCTGAGCGGCCAGTGTTCATCACTAGGAGGAAGCTGCGGGAAGAGCTGTGGCGGCTGCTGATTGAGCACAGAGATCAGGGACGCTACCTGCCCAGATACTGCCGCTTGTCCTACCACTCATCCACTTCCTCCTACTTTGTCCTCCTCCTTCCCCCCAGTTTCTCCTCACTTTGCCTTTTTGACTCCTCCTGTACAACTCATTACTCCTGTGCCAAAAGCACTTCATTTGAAGTTGTTTTTGCCCTGTTTATCTTTGTTTTCTCACATGTATGTCCGCCCAGTAGATGCTGTGTGTCTGGATAAATATACTCAAAAAGAACATTGATGATTGTACAAATCACTGGTGCTATAAAATCATCACACTGGTGCTATAAAAACTATTAGAGATGCACATGAAACAGCAGAACATCTTTTTTCTATTATTTTTTTGCATATTGTACCGTATTAATCTCATGCTTTGTGTTTGTTGATATGTTACTGTACTTGTGTTGAAAAGCAGTCATTGTCGTGATGATCGACTCATCAATGGTGGCCACTGTGCACTGACATCAGACAAAACCAATCAATATCCAGCCACCAAACAGTCTCATTGCTGAAGATCATGAGATGTGTGAAGAAACAGGTGGTGTGTGACCTCAGTTTTTGTACTACTGCCACCTGGATCTGTGCTTAGCAACCAAGCAGCAAGCTTATATAAATATATTCCAGTGGCAACAAGTGCTTTAAAAAGGCATCTCACAAACGGCCTCTGTACTACTGCTTTGTAAAACTGTCACTATAAAGACTGAGAAAAAAATAAACTTTTTTTTTACTACAGCTGTTCAGCGTGTGATTGAGTCAAACATGAGTCATCGCTGTAATGTAATCCGAGGCCGCAGCTCAGTGTGCTGAAAGGTATTTATGAAAGACATGAATTATGGTGCACACTGTGAGTTTATTCTCCTGAAAACAGGTGGCTTCCATGTGTATTGTCAATACAAGTTATACTGCTGCTATCAATCATCAGTCTGTCAGTGTTTATACAGTAAATAAACAGTATGTACACCTAGTAAAACTAATAGTAACTAATACAAAACACATACTGTAAGTATACGAACATACTGCAGTACTTGTTACTGTTATAAAACTGTGTCTATATGTCACATAATCAGTAAAATCTGTTTCTCAGAGAAAATACAGTACAGCTCCGTCATTATGCTCAATGCGTGTGTTTCCTGGCACTCGCACACAGTGAAGATCTTCCTCCACTTCTCTCAGTGTCCGTTAATATAAATGTGGAGGAATCAACTGGCAGATTTTCGTTCCTGCACTACGTCCAGATTCTGTCTGGAGGGGAATCCTGCGGTAATTTTGGGTTTTCTTCTTGAATAAGAGCAGGAAGTTTGGGGAGATGTTGAGCAAGGATCAAGTACAGATGGTTGCCAGTAATCAGCAGGCTGCTGGCGTTTTTAGCACAGCTGCTGAATCACATCGCTCCGCTCCCTCGCCTGTCACTGTGCGCTGCGGGTAGAGTTAAGTGTTCTTTACTGTATAAAACAACCAGTTAAACACCAACAAAATGACAGAGGTGCTCATTTCAGTGTCACAACGTACAACAAATCATATTTTAAACAGCAGAGTTAGAGTATGAACACTTTTAGGAATGTTTCTGTGAGTAAATATTGCTTTCAGACATTCATTATGTGTGGATTTTCCCTGGATTAGACGTGTGGTGTGCTGGTGCTTCTGGTTTTAAGATGCTTCTCATTTCCCTGCCGACAATAAGGAGGGTGGAAGAGATGGTTGTCGCCGCTTCATCTCTTGCTGCAGCTGCTCCTTCAGGGTGGATACCTGCAGTATTACAGTGGGTGACAAATGTTCATATTAAATTTAGACAACCACTGCAGGAGTATTTTCTGTTGATTTACATTGTTTGGTATAATTTGAGCCAATCGAATCAGATGCAGTAGTGATTGACTCAGTGACACTATAAAAACACTGTAATTCTTCCATTCTGTGATGTTTATTGTTGATATCTCCTTGATTACAAGACACCAAACTGCTGTTTATCAATCCCATGATGCACTCT